TCCATAGTTTAAGCAGTTGGGTGTTTCCTTTCACTGTTGATCAATTTTCATTTGAGTTTCAGTGGCATCCATGACCAAATTTTCATTTAAAGATGGCCCAATCAATGGAACTGTGTGAGATTCACATGTTAGCACAGGACAAAATGCAGTATGCAGTGTTAAAGTGAGTAAAATGCTTATATTTTTGTCCTCCTTTTTTGTGCATTATTGCATTCCCTCTGAGGAACCAAGGTTGAAGGGGAGCATATCACTGAGATGCTGTGCATCCTCTGTGCCAATTATTTAGTTGTGTATAAATTATGTAGCCATAATAGGATTGCAGACAAGCATTACTGGTTAAGTAATTTTTTTTGAAAGGAGGCCAAAGGAGTATATATTTTGATGTATCCAGATGAGATACATAATAGGTGCAAATAGGAAAAACTGTAGGAGTTAAAAGCTTTGGGGGTCTATTTCTATTCTAGTTGTAACCCAAAATTGGTAAACATGTAGTCTTAATTGTTTTTGCTTGGAAATTGAATGAAAATTTATTTTGAACTAGACTTACATCAGTGATGGGCAGTTAACTTGTGATAAGCTTCTGAGTAAAGATACTTTGGAAAAATTTTTATTATTTTGGGTTTTTGGGTCCTTGAGTCTACCCTTTGTACCAAAATCCCAAGCCTATTCATCTTCCAAAGCCCTCTGATGTGTAGTTAGCCCTGGGACATCTTCTCAGATTTTTCTGAGGCTCTTCATTGTTCTCTCCTCTGTGCTAGTTCACATTTTCATTGTTGCATGTTCCACAGGGTAATATGTGGTTAAATCTCTTTCCTCTCCTTTAGGCTGATAAGGGCCCTCTTAGTATGTCTGCATCCCCAGGGACTGGCTAGGGCTGGCACTTTGTCAGCACTTAGTTAATGTTTGTTGTATTAAATCTGTTACTACTGTAGCATTTGAAGTTCATTAACTCTGGCAGTATCTTGGAGATCTCTTATTTCATCTTAGATATCTGCTAAAAAGGCTTCTGAAGCCCTGTGGTTCATATTAAAATAAAGTTGAAAAGATGGTTCATATTAAAATAAAATTTCCCACAAGCACAGAGAACTGTAATAAGGAAGTCTTAAGCTCTTTCTTATTCTATGAGATAGGACGTTTTGGGGAGAGGGAAGGGAGGTGGTAAACTACTTGTTTTTAGGAACAGGAGAAATATGAGAAACACGTTTAACAAAGCCTGCCTGATTCACTTTGGAAGGTGGCTTTTCAGTGCCGGTTATAATCCATTGCTAGTGATATTTTTCCCACACAGGATTGTGACTACTGGCATAAATTTTACTTCTTGATAATGATAACTTGGATAACACCATTAATATTCTCTTCCTTGCTCTGCTGAAAACAAACAGCATGTCAAGAAGTGAAATGAATGGCAGGGGTTACATGGGAAATAATGCAATTTGCTGTATAAGCAGCATTACAAGGATCCTTCCTAACCAAATGCTTAGACAAAACATGCTTACAGCAGCTCATGGGAGAATATTCATAATCAGTTTATGGCTTCATGTTGATTCTAGATGTCCCTGTTAATGCATGAGTTTAATTTTTCATGTTTTTAAACTGAGGCATAGAGCTAAATATTCAGTCATTGCTATCAAGGACTTAGTGGGGCATATGTGTGTGTGCATGTGCACATTTGAATTGAAACATTAACTAATGTTCCCTTATGGCATGGAACAGAATAAGCCCCATTATGTTACACATTTTCATGGCTTAGAAATAAAGTTATGGCCCAGCGGAACCAGGCCCATAGTTTCTTTGGCAGTGAAAAAGCTCTTTAGTTTAATTAGGTACCCCTTGCCAATTTCTGTTTTTGTTAACAATTCCTTGTGAGGACTTAGCTATAAATCTTGGTCAAGTCTTATGTCGAGAAATGTATTTCCTAAGTTTTCTTCTAAGATTTTTATAGTTTGTGTTCTTACATTGAAATCTTTAATCTATCTTAAGTTCATTTTTGTACATGGTGAAAGGTACCTCCTGTCATTTTAAAGACATAAACTGAATATGTAAACTGATGCGATGGGCTGGCGAAGAGCTTGGTTATTTGAATGACAGACCACCTAGAGTGCCATCTCTGGGAAAGCAGTCTTGATTTGCTGCCTGCTGGCCACAAAATGTAGCTTCCAAGGGGCTAGGGAGGCCCTGATGTCAAGTCCTAGGTGATTGTAATGTGGACAGATTAGAAGAGATGATGTCATCTTGGTGACTTCTCAGCATCATGAGTAGGCAAAGTAGGTTTTTATAGCTCTATTGATCTCAAATTTCAAAATTGTGCCTCTGGGTGAAATTTAGTGACTGTATTCATAGGATATTAATGTTGATCAACATAAATATGTTGTTGTGCAAGGAGGTATTCTCTGCTGCAGAATTATTAATATATTGTATTACATATTAATGATATGTCACAGTATATGTATAATATATATACATAATATATGTTATACATGCATAATATATATGTATGTATGATCTATAACATATACATTAATATATTAGAATCTGGTAAAATAGCTCTTTTTTTTCCTAAAATTGTTTGAAGGTGTTTAAGAATCATTGACCTGGAAGAGAATTTCAATTCTCTTGGTTAAATTCACCTAATTTTTTACAGATAAGCAATATTCATGTGTGTGCAAAATGTATGTGAATGACACAGTACCTCAGTGTCTGAATGGGAGTTGGAATTCGGGTCTTTAGATGTTTATCCTAGCATTGTTTCTACTACTTCCCACTAACCTGTTCCTTCTTTGCCCTCCTTTGGTTGACCTGAGTCATGTCTGGGTCATGGGAATCCTGGAAACAGGCACTTGGTGATTTCAGACAGTAATTTCTCTCTATTCCGAAAGTGGAGGATCAGTGAGGGTTGTCCCGGAAATCCAAGGGGCTTGACAGGAAATCCAGCTTTAGGTGTGAGACATGATGTGTCTCTTGTTCAGAATGTAATGACCAGGAGAACTTAAATACTTGCAAATTATTTTTCTTGGTTTTAATGAAATCACTTAATTTAATTAAGTGCTATGCAGTAGGAAAGAACAATGCACTGTTTATAGATCTCTCATCTTAAGATCAACAAGGAACTGGAAAATCAGTCATGTGCTTGCTAAATTATTTACGAATTACTCTGAGGTCTAATGAGATGGATGCTCATGTTGAAGGCAAACCAGCTGATTTTCCACATCAAATTACTGAAGGACATGTCAACACCAGAATTACCAACTGTAAGTACGTGGAATTCTATGCACCAGGGAGCCAATAGCAGGAGCATAACTCAGGTTTGTTTTTTGTATAGACTTTCCCAGCCCCTCTGGGTGGAATTTTGATTTGGGTTCAATTGTCTGGTTTTGTCTCTAGGAGAATTTATTAGTGAAAACCCCAAATAGAGCTATGATCAGTATTTGTTTCTCTGGTTGAGGCCTTTGGGACAGAATTACAGCAGACCTCCAGTACACATGGAAGCTAAGGCATTGACATGTGTTTATTTAATATCCACAGCAGTGGACTTTCTATCATGTTTTCCTTTTTGATTATCACACTATGTGTATCTCTAGACAGATATGTCTATATGATGGAGTGTTTCTCTATATTGTTTCCTTTTACAGCTTCTTTGATTTTACTAGGATGCAGATAATATTGCCTAAGCTGGCATAATTTCTCTTTTGGTAGATTTGATACTCTTACATGTCTAATCATTGCTATTTCATACCTCTCTAAAACTGGCAACAGTGGCTGGGCACAGTGACTCATGCCTGCAATCCCAGTACTTTGGGAGGCTGAGGTGGGTGGATCACTTGAGGCCGGGAGTTCAAGACCAGCCTGGACAACAGGGCGACACCCTGTCTCTACTAAAAATACAAAATTTAGCCAGGCATGGTGTTGTGTGCCTGTAATACCAGTTATTTTGGAGGCTGAGGCATGAAAATGGCTTGAGCGTGAGAGGCAGAAGTTATAGTGAGCTGAGATTGCACCACTGCACTCCAGTCTGGGCAACAGAGTGAGACCCTGTCACAAAGAAAAAAAAAAAGGGCAACACATTTGTAACGTACCTGTGTCTATGCAGGACTCACAATCTGTCTTTCCCTGTCTCTTGCCACATTTCCCCTTAATTGATTGGGGGAATTTGATAACTCAGAAAAATTCCAGTCCATACATTGTATTCTACATATTGGCAAGGAATATTATTTAGAAACATGCTCAAATGTGTGTCCTAGACTTCCATAAGATCCCCTCATAGCTAGTGTGGAAACATATAATGAACACTTGATCTGAATAAACTCTTTAAAGAGATTGATAAAGGATGTCAGAGGAAAGATTTGAACTTATTAAGTTGACCTTTAAGTGTATTCTTTTAAGGAATAAACACTTATCCTTAACCTCTGAAATTTTTATCAGAAATTTTCTCTTTCAGTGAGAGGAACTGAGCAGATTCTCTTTAGTGCCTCAGAAGACATATTTGCTGTTTTTTGTTTTATGTCTGATTCGATAAGGCTTCCCTTCATTGTTCTTGCAAACTTACTTTGTTGTTGCTGCTATTTTTTTTTAATAAAACAATTTCTATGCATATTTTGTAGGTAGGATGTTGGTTCTCAAGACACTCAGTGAAAAAAGAGTTCTGTGGTCAAGTACCTTTGGGAAACACTACAGCTCCCTTCTTGGTGATCACGGTGATCTGATTCTATCCTTAGAATCGGAAGCTTTTCTTGAAACACTTTTCCCATGGCCCATGGGGGAGTGTACAGGCTGAGAACATGACCTTAGATTCTTTATAACCAACACATTTTTATTTTTATTTTTATTTTTGAGATAAGATCTTGCTCTGTCATCTAGGCTGGAGTGCAGCGTTATGATCCCAGCTCACTGCAGGCTCAACTTCTTGGGCTCAAGTGATTCTCCCACCTCAGCCTCTTGAGTAGTTGAGGCTACACGTGCATGACACCCCGCCCAGCTAATTTTTCTAATTTTTTTTGTGTGTGGAGATGGGGTCCTAGTATGTTGCCGAGGCTGTTCTTAAACCCCTGGTCTTAAGTGATCCTCCCACCTTGGCCTCTCAAATTGCCATATCCTCTCACTGTCCATGGTGCCACAAGTTACCTTTGTATCAGATAAGGCTTTAGTTGCAGACATTATAATCCACAATAGCTCATTTAAACACACAAGGATTTAATCAGTGGTTTAGACAGCTCACAAACTCACTGGTGGGGTTGAAAATGTAGATCCCGAGATGATCTCTTGGGAATGACTCTGTGTTAGTCCATATTCATACTGCTTAAAGAACTACCAGAGACTGAGTAATTTATGAAGAAAAGAGGCTGAACTGACATACAGTTCTATAGAAAATTTACAATCATGGCACAAGGCAAAGGGGACACAAACACCCTTCTCACATGGCAGGGTAGGAGGAAAAGAGCAAAGGGATAAATGCTACATAATTTAAAAACGACCAGATCTTGTGAGAACTAATTCACTGTCAGAAGAACAGCAAAGGGGAAGTCTGCCCCAATGATTCAATTACCTTTCACCAGACCCCTTGTACAACATGTGGGGATCACAATTCAACATGATATTTGCATGGGGACATAGAGCCAAACCAAATCAGACTCCAAAACCACACTTCAGAACCAGATTACCCAAGGTGCTCCCACTTCTGCCATCAAGGAGATGGCTGCCATGCCAGGATGCCCCTGCAACGGCTTCTGGTCTGGAATCATAGCTTCTGCCACCTTCTAAACTTGTAAAAACACTTCTTATATGGCTCCCAAGGGAGGGTGTTGGCCAGTGTTCATGCCCAGATTCTTTGACTTAGATTGGTTGGCTGGCGCCATCTGTGTTCCTTCTGCCTGTGTGTTTGTCATGCCATTCTAGCTAATTGAAGCACCTTTATTTCTTCTCTTCTGGTTGAACTGCTATCATCTCTCCCTTGATGCGTAGCCTAGGATGACTTACTTTTTTCTTTTCTTTTCTTTTTTAATTGCATTTTAGGTTTTAGGGTACATGTGAAGAACATGGAAGATTGTTACATAGGTACACACATGGTAGTGTGATTTGCTGCCTTCCTTCCCATCACCTATATCTGGCATTTCTCCCCATGCTATCTCTCCCCAACTCCCCACCCCACGCTGTCCCTCCCCTATTTCCCCCAACAGACTCCAGCCTTTGATGCTCCCCTCCCTGTGTCCATGTGTTCTCATTGTTCAACACCCACCTATGAGTGAGAACATGCGGTGTTTGATTTTCTGTTCTTGTGTCAGTTTGCTGAGAATGATGGTTTCCAGGTTCATCCATGTCCCTACAAAGGACACGGAGTCATCATTTTTTATGACTGCATAGTATTCCATGGTGTATATGTGCCACATTTTCCCTGTCATCAATGGGCATTTGGGTTGGTTCCAGGTCTTTGCTATTGTAAACAGTGCTGCAGTGAACATTCGTGTGCGTGTGTCCTTATAGTAGAACAATTTATAATCCTTTGGATATATGCCCAGTAATGGGATTGCTGGGTCAAATGGAATTTCTATTTCTAGGTCCTTGAGGAATCGCCACACTGTCTTCCATAATGGTTGAACTAATCGACACTCCCACCAACAGTGTAAAAGTGTTCCTATTTCTCCACATCCTCTCCAGCATTTGCTGTCTTCTGATTTTTTAATGATCGCCATTCTAACTGGCGTGAGATGATATCTCAATGTAGTTTTGATTTGCATTTCTCTAATGACCAGTGATGATCAGCATTTTTTCATATGTTTGTTGGCCTCACGTATGTCTTATTTTGTAAAGTGTCTGTTCATATCCTTCACCCACTTTTGAATGGGCTTGTTTTTTTCTTGTAAATCTGTTATAGTTCTTTGTAGATTCTGGATATCAGCCCTTTGTCAGACAGGTAGATTGCAAAAAGTTTTTGCCCATTCTGTTGGTTGCTGATTCACTCTAATGACTGTATCTTTTGCCGTGCAGAAGCCATGGAGTTTGATTAGGTCCCATTTGTCTATTTTGGCTTCTGTTGCCAATGCTTTTGGTGTTTAGGTCATGAAGTCTTTGCCTATGCCTATGTCCTGAATGGTTTTGCCTAGATTTTCTTCTAGGGTTTTTATGGTGTTAGGTCTTATGTTTAAGTCTTTAATCCATCTGGAATTAATTTTATTGTAAGGTGTCAGGAAGAGGTCCAGTTTCTGCTTTCTGCATGTGGCTAGCCAGTTTTCCCAACACCATTTATTAAACAGGGAATCCTTTCCCCATTGCTTGTTTTTGTCAGGTTCATCGAAGGTCAGATGGTTGTAGATGTGTGGTGTTGCCTCGGAGGCCTCTGTTCTGTTCCATTGGTGTATATTTCTGTTTTGGTACCAGTACCATGCTGTTTTGAGTACTGTAGCCTTGTAGTATAGTTTGAAGTCTGGTAGTGTGATGCCTCCAGCTTTGTTCTTTTGCTTATAATTGACTTGGCTATGCGGGCTCTCTTTTGGTTCCACATGAAGTTTAAGGTGTTTTTTTCCAGTTCTGTGAAGAAGGTCATTGGTAGCTTGATGGGGATAGCGCTGAATCTGTAAATTACTTTGGGCAGTATGGCCATTTTCACAATATTGATTCTTCCTAACCATGAGCATGGAATGTTTCTCCATCTGTTTGTGTCCTCTCTTATTTCATTGAGCAGTAGTTTGTAGTTCTCCTTGAAGAGGTCCTTTATGTTCCTTTTTAGTTTTATTGCCAGGTATTTTATTCTCTTTGTAGCAATTGTGAATGGCAGTTTGTCCTTGATTTGGCTCTCTTTAAGCCTGTTATTGGTGTATAGGAATGCTTGTGATTTGTGCACATTGATTTTGTATCCTGAGACTTTGCTGAAGTTGCCTATTAGTTTCAGGAGATTTTGGGCTGAGACAATGGGATCTTTTAAATATACAATCATGTCGTCTGCAAATAGAGACAATTTGACATCCTTCTTTCCTATTTGAATACCCTTTATTTCTTTTTCTTGCCTGATTGCTCTGGCTAGAACTTCCAAAACCATATTGAATAGGAGTGGTGAGAGAGGGCATCCTTGTCTAGTGCCAGATTTCAAAGGGAACACTTCAGTTTTTGCCCATTCAGTATGATATTGGCTGTTGGTTTGTCATAAATAGCTTTTATTATTTTGAGATACATTCTGTCAATACCTAGTTTATTGAGGGTTTTTAGCATGAAGGGCTGTTGAATTTTGTCAAAGGCCTTGTCTGCATCAATTGAAATAATCATGTGGTTTTTGTCTTTCGTTCTGTTTATGTGGTGAATTACGTTTATAGACTTGCGTATGTTGAACCAGCCTTGCATCCCCCGGATGAATCCTTCTTGATCATGGTGGGTAAGCTTTTTGATGTGCTGTTGCAATCGGTTTGCCAGTATTTTATTGAAGATTTTTGCATCTATGTTCATCATGGATATTGGTCTGAAGTTTTCTTTTCTTGCTGAGTCTCTGCTGGGTTTTGGTATCAGGATAATGTTGGTCTCATAAAATGATTTGGGAAGGATTCCCTCTGTTTGGATTGTTCAGAGTAGTTTGAGAAGGAATGGTACCAGCTCCTCTTTATATGTCTCGTAGACTTCGGCTGTGAACCCATCTGGACCTGGGCTTTTTTTGGGTGGTAGACTCTTAATTGCTGCCTCAACTTCAGACCTTGTTATTGGTCTATTCAGGGTTTCAAGTTCGTCCTGGTTTAGGCTTGGGAGGTTGCAAGTGTCCAGGAATTTATCAATTTCTTCCAGGTTTACTAGTTTATGTGCATAGAGTTGTTTGTAATAATCTCTGATGATGGTTTGTATTTCTGTGGAATCTGTGGTGATATCCCCTTTATAATTTTTTATTGCCTCTATTTGATTATTCTCTCTTTTCTTTTTTATTAATCTGGCTAGTGGTCTATTTTGTTGATCTTTTTGAAAAACCAGCCCTGGATTTATTGATTTTTTTTGAAGGGTTTTTTGTGTCTCTATCTCCTTCAGTTCTGCTCTGATCTTAGTTATTTCTTATCTTCTGTTAGGTTTTGAGTTTTTTTGATCTTGCTCCTCTAGCTCTTTCAATTTTGATGATAGGGTGTCAATTTTAGGTCTTCCCTTGCTTCTCATGTGGGCATTTATTAGTATATATTTTCCTCTAGACACTGCTTTAAATGTGTCCCAGAGATTCTGGTACGTTGTGTGTTCGTTCTCATTGGTTTCTAAGAACATTGTTATATCTGCCTTCATTTCATTGTTTATCCAGTCAACATTCAAGAGCCAGTTGTTCAGTTTCCATCAGCCTGTGCGGTTCTGAGTTAGTTTCTGAATTTTGTGTTCTAACTTGATTGCGCTGTGGTCTGAGAGACTGTTTGTTATGATTTCTTTTCTTTTGCATTTGCTGAGGAGTGATTTACTTCCAATTATGTGGTCAATTTTAGAGTAGGTGTGATGTGGTGCTGAGAAGAATGTATATTCTGAGAAGAATGTAGATTTGGGGTGGAGAGTTCTGTAAATGTCTATAGATAACTTACTTTTTTCAAGAGTCCATCCTCAGCAGTTTCTGGCTTCAGGAACTTTTCTATTCCATAACGTCCTACCATATTCGTTGTATCTATCAATCATTGTCTTGTAATAATTTTAAAAATTCACATTTCCTGTCTTACTGACTAGCTCGTAATCCCACGTTGTACACCTGTCTCCATTCCCTACACCTATTAGAATTTACTGTTTATGACACACATATATATATATATGTTTGCTGTTAGTGATACAGAAATATAATGGCTAAAAGCGCAGAGTCTGATTTTTCTTGGAATATCCTACCAGCCCTCTCAGGCATTGCAAATAAATATTTAATGGATGATGTTGACCACCTGACAGACACATTAGAGTACCAACCAATGTCTTCAAGAAAGAAAAACTCTGTCCATTATTATTTTGTGAATTGTACACAGTTGTAGAATGCTTTCCAGTTTTTTTTGTCGAAATCATCTTGTAGGGAATTGAGCAAATAAATATTCTTCAAAGTTTTCAAACAGATGAGGTGCTACTTCCAAAAATGTACCCGGTAGGAGTTCCCTGTAA